AGGGCAGTGTCACTGTCCCTCATATGTGGGATCCGAACCGGGGCCCTCTGGCATCCCAAGCGAGTTCTTAACCATCGCGCCACTCGGCCGGCCCCCAAGCCAACTCTTAACCAATGCGCCACTCAGCCAGCCCTATTTGCCGTTATTAAAACATTCAAAATTTTTTCTAAATCTGCTTTATGTAAAAGAATGGAACATTCCTTGAATTTTTCAGTAACAGATTTGTCTCTTCTTTCGTTTCTGTTTATAGGTGCACTGATATCAACCCTAAGGCAGCGGCTTGTACCCTGGAGACAGCACGCTGTAACAAAGTTCACATTCAACCCATAGTTACAGATTTGGTGAGCCATTAATCCTTGCCGAATAATAATTAAGGTCAAAATGATTTAGGTTAAAGAAACTTGAGTGATTAATTTTTAACTCACTAAACAGTGTACCCCATAGTTTATAAATTTTTGACTGATGTGATCCTCTTTGTTCACAGTTCACAGGGAATTTCTGTTGGCTTGTATAGATCAGACATCTTTCTGTCAGAAGTCACAGAGAATCCAGTTCAAACTGGCTTAAATAAAAAGAGTGGGTGGCTTCAGGCACAGCTGGCTCTAGGAACTCAAATGGTGTTACGGGTATCTTTTTCTTAGGTCTGAACTTCTCTCTAATGGCTCTATTCCTAGGCAGTATTTCCCTTCATGGTACCAACGTACTTTCATGTCTATTTCTTATTCCTCAGCAATCCCCCGCACCTCCATAGAAAGAAACTTTCTACTCAGTTAATCTAGCAAAAGCCCCTGAATGTGTATAGTTTGGCTCAACTTGGGTCATGTGCCTATCTCTCAGTCTCCCACCTTGTCCAAGGGGGGTTGGACTGTGGAAATGATTGACTTAGGCCTGAGTCATGGTCCCACCTTCCCTGGGTTGAGAATGAGAGAGGTAGAGCTTTCCCACTGAAAGTCAAGAAGTAATGAGAAGGAAAGGGAAGGGAAATGGGCCCTGGGCTGGTGACAGCAACAGATGACAACTACAGAGTCGTCATTTTAAGTTATACATCATACCTTTTTCAGTTACAGTTGTTAAATTATTTTAATTAGTAAGATGTGGATAATTTTTAAATTTTTTTAGTTAGAAATGTTAAATGCCTTATTATAAGCAAAACATCATAATAGCATGTATCAGGTGGTCATAAGAAATATAAAATGTCTTCAGTGCTTCTTGACCTGTAGTCTTAACACTGATAAGGGTATTTATTTAGGTTTTCTGCTTTATTATTCACAAATGGTTTTGCAGCTTAAAAGAAATTAAGCCAAAGATGTGAGAAATTCTTTACATATTACTAGAAGTTGCTACTGCCATTAAAAACTAGATGAGCAAGAAAGGTATTCAAGTGACTGACATGAGATCAATTTGGCGATATTGCTCTTTAAATGTTTTAACTTGTTTCTTTCATGTATCCGTAATTAGTGTTAACTATGTTTGTGATAGAACAGTAAAACTTTAGAGATAGAAGAAATTCAGAATATTTTTTTAACCGAGGTAGAAGCTGAGATGAGGTACCTTTTTGAAAGTCACATGAGTAATAAAATGAGAAATCCAGAATTGAAGCCCAGACCATATGCATCTAAAATCTAGAGGTCTCACAGCTGTTTTAGGACATGATTGGTGTAGTCCATGCTAGAATCAGATCTCTCAGTAGTTAAAATTGGCCACGATCCTATTGACATAGGCCAAATAAAGAGCAAGAGGTAGGTATGACCATAGATATTAGGTCGATTTACAAAACTCTTTACATGTGCCAATATTCAGAACACTGGACGTGGGTTATCACCACTACCATGTAAAAGAAAACCATTGTTTTTGGATAGTTTACCTGTTTAAAAAGTAACACTTTTATTGTATTTCATTTGTAGTTGTAGAATAAAGTCTTTTTCAAATATGTCCTATGATTTCCTTATGTTAGTAAAACAAAATAAACATAATTTTACCTGTATTGTTTCAGGGTCATTAATATAAGTATCAGTTATTATTCTGTTATATATGATAATGACTTGGGTTTCTTCAGGCATTTCTGCCTTTACACTATGCAGCTGCAGTGATTTCGAGCTGTTTTTTTCTCTGTCTTTTCACTTGCTTTATGGTGTCATAGTTCACCTCAACCTTTAATAGCACTTCCTCGCTCTCTTTTCATGTGCTTTGTGCTAGAACAGCAAACAATTAATTAGGTAGATTTGTATTTAAGAGTTAAGGGGCTCTGAATAAGTGCCTCTCATGTGAATAAAGTACTATATGCATTTTGCTGTATGCATTTAACACTTTCTTGTCAGAGGCCTGTTTTGCTTCCTTCCCGGTACCTGGATATGTCCCAGTGCCCTGAGACTATCCAAAAGCTGAATATGGGTTATGGGTGAGGGATGCCTGTAATCAGACTTTATATCCAGTCCACTGTGACTTTCTTCTTTAAATCCGTTTTCTTTATAACTCCAAAATTTTCTATTTGTTGAATGACAATTTTTCCTGTATTTAAAATCCAGTGCTGCATTAATTATAGTATATAGTACCTCAGGGCCATCACAAACAGTTACAAAGCAAATTCTTTTCTGCTTTGCTCTCTCAACATTTCTGCAAAATTACATTTTGGACTTTTTTAATAATTTGAGAAACAATTTCTTTATGGAATTGAAAACAAAGTTGTTTTTTTTCCAATTATGTTTCCTCACTTTCCAATGTCATTACTAGAAGGAACAGCAGATTACCTAGTCACCTGTCTACGTGCATATATGAGAATCACTTCCCCCCAAAATGGTTATCTTTTCTCTTTTTAAATGAGAAAGAAAAGTTACCTCTGTAGACATCTCTTCAGAAGCAGTACTCATGTGTTCTCTTTGAACTGCTTAGTTAGCAGGCCTCTGAAGATAATAAAAATGGAACTGCTTTTCGAAAACTAAATAAAATGGCAGGCAATTCAAAGGCAGTTTCACAGTGTTTGTAAGTGGCCCAGTGACATGCCCAGTACTTAGATGGTATGGCTGAGTATGAAATAACTTTGAATCACATAATGTGAAAACTGTTGCCTCTTCAATTTTCTTTTGGCCCGTCTGATTGCATCAAGGAGAAGGTCTCAGTTTGGTGCTATTTAACACTTTTCATAAGCTTAGGAATGCCCTTTTGACAAAGAGAAAACAGGTCTGGGTTACTCTTTGATTGGCAACAGTAACTATCTATAACAGTATCATTTTTTTTCATTTATATTGCATTTATTCTTGTAGTCATTTCTATTTCCAGAATGTAATAGTGATTTTCCATAGTAAATCTCCCTTTAGAGCACATTCATTTAGCAAATAAAGGCCCACGTAAAGAAAAATATCCAGTAAATTATGGTATGTCACTGTGCAGATAGCGAGAAATTGAGAGATTGTTAATAGAATAACTGTAGTATTGGATGCTGCCTTGAGATACTTCACCGTTCCATCTCAAGACAAAGGCTCAGAGTTCATGGGGAAGAGGCAGTGTCAATAACTGAAGGAAATGGCTTTGAGGTGAGAACTCACCCTGACATATCACTTTCCCTTTACGGTGCCTGTGAAGGCACAGGATAATAATCAACATAATTTTTTAAATATTTAGTTATTTAACTCAATCAAAGGAATACTTTAAATGGCATTTTGTCCTAAATATACTTTCATTAAAAGACAGTTTTCTTCTTGTTAAAAATTGTACTCAGTTTAAAGATTTATAAAATGACAAAAAACTGATGTTTTCAGTGTCTCTTCCCAGTATTTCCAACTCTTTGTTTCTTTGATAACTAATTGTTTCCAGCCAATACATTTACAAATAATTAAGTAGAAATAAAAAAAATTCCATCTTGACATTTTCTGTCATAAAATGTTTCTTTTGGTTAAAGAAAATAAATGTTTATGTTAGCTGCTATAGCTTTAAAGTTGTATACAGATCTATGTAGAACATGTGCTACAAAATGAGAGCTTGCTTCCTCCTTAATTTATCTTCTAAAGTGAACCCAGAGCATAAACACATGAGCTGCTGAAGAGAGGAGACTTTCCTGAGCATTTTATATTCATTCTGATAGTTTCATTCCCTTATTTTTAGGTAAATTCATATAATCTTTATCTGCATGAAAATGTAAAAATATTTATCTCTATTTCTGTTTGTAGTGTGGCCTTCTAACACATTTTTTCTTAAAAACATGAGAGATGTTTTTAAAGAGTGATTGAATTTATACTCTGGCTTAAAAGTCTGACTGTTGAACATTTAGGTCAAAGGCTTGCTACCACGATTGAAGGAAAAAGTCGATCTGCTGGTGTTTAATCCCCCCTATGTGGTGACTCCACCTGAAGAGGTACAGATAACAACATTTAATTGTTAATATTTTTTGTTTTCTTTCTAAAAATCAAATGAATTTCATCATATGCCATCAGTCAGCTGCTGATTAAGACAAATTGCTCTGATTTTACTCCAAATTGTCAATGATTGGGTACTACTGGCAGACACAGGAAAGGAACCTAAAATGGAACACAAACTGACCCAAACCTATCTTCAAAATCCCATCCAAATCAGGCCATGGTATTCAAATCTGTGTGTGTGTGTGTGTGTGTGTACACATGGGGCAGAAGCAAACAAGCAAAACAGTAAAAAGGAAAAATGCAATTTTTTAAGCTGGTATATAAACATTTATTTGTAAAATGCTTGTAGGTACAATGAAGTTTCTAATGAGGAAGTATATGCCATGTTAAATGAATAAAAACAGAAGTAATGATTGTATATAAATAATTCAAACTAAAATATGGACAAAAATCATTGAAGGAAATAAAAGGAAAATACTTGTGTTGGGTTTAAGTTATTTTTAAGTGATTTCTTCAGAATATCCTTTAGTTTTGAAAACAGTATACAATGGTGATCTAAAGATTTTTAATACTGTATAAACTCACAGGTTTGTGTCTACAATAGAATTAGATCGTTACAGTAAAAAATGTGATAAGTGGGTTCCTAAAATGGTCTTTATGATTCATACTTTAAGTAATCTAGAAGACATCCAGGTGCAGTGGGGCATTTTGAAATTTTGTTTCTGCAAAGTAAATCTCTTATAATACAAGCTCTCCTTTCTGGTTTCTTCCAGTTCTATGTTAAGTGTAAGAATTACCTGTCTTTCATTATAAGCATTGTATTAATAGTAACTGTTATTAAGCCCTTAATATGTATATGACACTGTTTTATAACTTTATATTTACTCATTTTTTCTAACAGTGGACAAAGTAATTTTTTATCATTTTTCTAATTCTACAGTTGGAAACTATTGTTTTTCTAATTTTACAGATAAGGGAGGCAGTTAATTCACAGAGATAAAGTTACACAAGGTCACAAGGCTAAGAAATGGTGGGGCTCAGATGAAACTTGACTGTCTCCTGGACAGCAGTAAAATACAAAATATATACTTGTTGAGTGAATGTTACTTGTCAGAAAGATTCAGTTTGTCATTCTAAATGTAACTTGATGAGTTGAAACAAAACAGTCTTTTTACTGGTCACAGGTAGGAAGTCACGGAATCGAGGCAGCTTGGGCTGGTGGCAGGAAAGGTCGCGAGGTCATGGACAGGTTCTTGCCACTGGTTCCGGATCTCCTCTCACGAATAGGGTTATTCTATTTAGTTACCATTAAAGAAAATGATCCAGGTAATACAAACCAGTTTATATTTTAATCATTTATTTTGCTGAAATCAGAAGTTAATAATGTCAAAGACTGTGATTTATAACATAACCTGGGATGTTATGAATATAATCACTGACAACTAATATAGACAACACATGTTGAAAGAGAGGTATTTTTTAGATTTGGGGTTTTTGTAAAGCATTGTCTTTTGGAGGGCGGGATGGGCAGTTTCCCCAATTCATAAACTAATATTCAAATACAAAATCTAGTATCGTCTTCCAGCATCTCACCCTCAATATTGTGAATTTTTTCTCCACCTCGTCTTCATGCCCTTGACAATTCTGCTATATCCTCTTTAGTTCATCTGAAGCTTTATCATGAAAACTATCTCATGGTATAGACTGCTATATCTTAGTTTTCAGATTACTTTTTAACTAAATTGACCATAATCTTTCTTCTCTTTTTCTGTATACCTCGGTTTGATTTTTATCTTATACCTTATATTATCCCCAGCCCCTCAAAGTCACATCATGAGTACTAGATTTTTGGGGGTTTTTTGCAACTCCATTTTCTTAGTTCAATCATTTTAGTGTTGTTTATAAAAAGGAAGGTTTTGCCTTTTTCAGTACACTTGAAATAAACTACTTTATATTTACTACCACTGTGCAGTGTTACTGCACAGTTTGCCCATACCTGAACTGACACTTTTTTATCCAAAAAGGATATGAGGCAGAGGTTGGAGCCAAGCAACTAAAAAACTAATTACTTGCTGTAATAATAAGTATAATTGATGTTTCTATTGAGTCCAGGGGGGCTACCACTGCAAAGCAGGCCATTCAGTCTGATTCGAATTCTCAGCAACACCTTGAAAATATAAAGTGCTCCCATCTGTCTGACACCCAAGTTCACGTTAATAGAAATTTCCTTGCTATACATTGTTTTCCCAGATGAACAGAATTTGTACAGTCTATGTTTATCATTTATTAAATTGTTTAGTGATTATACACACTTCACCAAATGATTTAATTGGATTTTACCTTTTAATTTTCATTTTAGAAGAAATTTTGAAAACAATGAAGATGAAAGGTCTACATGGGACTGCAGTACTTTCCAGGCAAGCAGGACAAGAAATCCTTTCAGTTCTGAAGTTCACCAAGTCCTAATATACAGTGTGTGCTCTGTATTATATTGAATGTCTATATATTGAATAATACATATTATATCGAATATACATATGAATACCTTTATATTGAATACATATAGATATATATAGATATATCTCTATATATGCTGAAAGTATTCAGCATATTTTAAAACTGAAGTCATTTCTTGGTTAACAAGTAAAATTGTCAGAAATATGTCACATAGAAAATGGTGGAAAGGTTGGGCATTCTCTTTCACTCAGGAATTAAGCCTACACAAATATATGCATAAGTGCTAGTACATACAAATATTATATATATATATATATATATAATTTCATTTTATATACAAAAGATATTTATATATGAAAGGATATTTATTTCAATAGCAAAACGAGGAAGTCAACCGAACCGCCCATCAGGAAAGAGATTGGTAAAATAGATTACAGTACATCCATGTTACTGACCGTGAGTGACACCAGCTATTAAATATGAGTGGGGTCTATATATACTGAACCAGAAGGAGTTCATGATGTACTTTTGAGAGAAAAAAAGCAAGTTGCAAAACAGTATTATCTGATATGTATATTTTTGAAAAACAGAGAGGGTAGGTTTGTATGTGTATATAAGAAGTCTCAGAAGATACCAGGTGGGAATGGAGGAATTTTCAGTCTTTTGTGGTAGCATTTGTATAATGATAATACATTACTTGTATAATTTTTTAAAGTTTTTTATTTAAAAATTTTTAAAATTTACTTTGACTTGCTTATTGTCTTCATTCTGTTGTTTAGAATGCCTTCTGCCTGCATTCTTCTCCCTGGTCAGATTTTCCCTGCATTTTATCCCTTATCATATAGTTTTGTTTTCTTTTTGCATATATGTTGTAAACTACTATACATTTTTCTTAGATCAAGAATTGTATATAACAGGGTTGCCGATTCAATTCCCGGCCCGAGCTGAGCTGTGCTGAGCTGCCAACCGGTGGCAGGATGGCTCAGCTAAAACAAACAAACAAAAAAACAATTGTATATAAACTCACCACTCTTACGTTAATCACATTTTTAAAAGCTTGCATGTGTCTTTCAAGAAATGTCAAATTACCTTTACTAAACTTAGATATCTCTTCTTCCATCACTTCCACACCATTCAAAATCAACGAGCAGGGATTGTGTAGTACCAGAGTGACGGGAATCTAGAATTTATTTTTTATTTGGCTTTATGAGAATCGGAATCACTTGTGGAAACTTTTAAAGATAATAAGCTTTTTTTTTTTTTAAAGATTTTTATTGGGGGATGGGAACAGCGCTGGGGAATTGGGGGAAGGGGAACAGACAAGCTGCTGTCATTTTGTTCTTCAGTCTAGTTGTGGAG